GCCAACGACAAGCCGCGGCGGTCGTTTCGAGGTGGCTCGCCTGGGCTGTACGGCCCCACCGTACAACCACCGTTTCCAGCTTGGCTTAGTTTTTATTTAAAAACTACGAAATTTTTATTTTTTAATATTCGAGATTACGAATTAGCAAATTAGAAAGCGGGAGAGGTAGGGGGAATTTTTGTTTTAAAGTGTAATTTATCTGCATGAATTATCCTATTTAGATGCACGGTGTGAGGACCGTCCACACGATTTTGTTACCCAAAAAATAAAAATAAAAAAGAGTTAAATATATAATTATGGTCATATTAAAAATAAAAAAAGAGGTTAAAATATATAGTTATGGTCATATTAAAAATAAAAAATAAGAATGGATGTGCAAAACAGATAAGAAGTAGGTGCATTTAATCCTAATAATCAAATCTTGTTCTTAAATTCCACTTGTACTGCCACTGCTCTCTTTTCAGTCTTTCCCCATTCCATTTATGACTGTTCCATTTTTATTAACAAAAAATATTTATATTCAAAAAAAGATTTTTTTCGTTTTTTTATTAATTTAATATTTATATCCATTTTTGGTGAAAATTCTCACTTATTAAATGTTGTATACCAAAAAAATGGAATCTAATAACTTTTTTGTTTTGTTTTGGTAAAGGAATACAAGTACTTTGATAACAATGAATTTGATGATAATGATATCTGCTGTAATGACTAATACATAAAACGTATGTGTCTCCATTGGTTCAAATTGAAGGAGATTCATATTATCAAGAGGTGGACCTCTTTATGATTATTTTTTTTAAAAAAAGGTTCTATGACAAATTTGACTCATGGACATTTTCTTCACACCACATATATATACATGTATCATGTGTGTGTATATATACACATATATGATATATATATATATATACACATTGACATACATATATATGTGTGTATATATATAGGATATAGCATGCAGAAGATGATTCAAGCGCAACAAAATTCGAAGCGGATATCTTTAGTAGGTTGGTTCACCTACTTTGCATATTTGTCGGCTACTACGTAGGGTGGTGGGTTTTCTCAAATCCGCGATGTCGTTCTCGTCCGGCCCATAGACTGAGAAGCGTTGTAATGTCCAGTGTCCGGCCCATAGGTTGAGAAGCGTTGTAGTGTCCAGTGTCCGACCCGAAGGGTTGTAGGATAAGAGTTTCCATCGTAAAATAAAATAAAATCGAAGCGGGACTCAAATGAATCGAAGCGAAAAAGGCTATTACTCAGTCTACTTTCTAGTGAAAGAAATCAAAAAGCCCCCGAAATGGAAATGTCACGTAGATTATCATTGCAATAATCTCGGAAATCTGAAGAGTTTGGTCGGAAGCTAAAATACGAAATAAATTAAATTTAAAATAAAAATCATAGAACCTTGTAAATATTTCAAAGCAAAATCAATGTTAGATTTGTAACATTGAATACTAAATTATAAGATTTATTTTCAAATTTTATATTATTTTGATTCGACTTCTTTAGTATTTTAGGAATAAGAGGCTATTATTAAATCGATATCACATAAATTTAAAAATTAAATTATCCGAAAGAGAAGAGATAACTACTAATATTTGAATAAATATCACACTCCAAAATTAAGAAGTTGTAAATAAAAAAGAAGGTTGTGACTTGCCGACTTACCAATTACATGAGAGTTTTTTTTGGAAAAAAGATTTATAAAGATAGATCGATCTTTCATTTAATGATTTTGAACTAACTTGTTCAATGAAAATTTTAAACAAAAGAATTTTTTTAAATGCGAGCAACGGACCTCTCTTTCTTGATGCGAGCTCCACCTCCATTTATTAAAACATAAAAAAAAAATGAAAGTTTTATTTTATAAAGATGGCTTAGGGATCTTATGGAAAATCCGTTCCTCATCTAAACTAACCGCCGCAGTCAAAAGAATTGTTATGAGTTCCTAATATCCATTTACTTTCATTATAAAAAAAAGTAATTTTATTGAAAAAGTTTTTGAAAGTTTCTTATAAATATTGTTCACAGACTCTCTCTTGAACTGAGCTGATTTGCCGTGAAAAAAAAAATTACGGAAAAAATTCAAAAACTAATTTTAATTTTATAAAATAAAAAGAGAATTTAGAAAAATGTGAAAGTGAATTTGGATATACGAGAAATGGAGGAATTATGAGAGGATAGCAAAAAATGTAAGTGAAGCAACAAACAATGGAGAGATCGGAGGCAAATATTCGTTATTTTTTCTTATTTTTAAAATTTATTATTTGGATAACAAATTAATAATTATTTAATTTAGGGTTTTTTTTGGATAATTTAACACAAAAACTGCACAACTTAAATATGAAAAAAATGGCATCTCACAAAGATATTTTTGTTTTTAATATTTACCCTATTTTTCTCTAAAAATATTTGGAAAATCGAACAAAAATATTTTTTTAAAATAAATATATTAATAAATTAGTTTAACAAAAATAGAATGAAATGAAACTATTATAAAAATGAATAGATATAATCTTTACGAAACTAAAAAAATTAATTTGGGAAATAAATGAATTCAAAGAAACGAATTCCAAAATTTATAACAAGCAAACGGAGGTGAGTGTTAAAATATAAAAAGAAAGTTTAAATCATCTCTAAGCGACTTCCATGGTATAACTTAAATTTATCTTATTTTCTATTGTGAAATAATTATTTAGGGTTACAATATTTTCTTATTTAAGTATTTTGTGGTTTCTCAATAATTTGTTAATAAGAAAAATCTCATCTGCAGGGAGCCAAGACCATAAACATTTCATGTGGATTATGCAACCGTAAAACACGTATAGTCTAGACAACTAACCATATAAAATGACATTTTCATGTAATCGAATATATATATATATATATATATATGTGTCTATTGTCTATTATGCATTCGTTATTTCATGCGGTAATTATAATTACATCAAATTTTTTTTATAACAGAGAGAACCACTACGACCCTTCGGATGTGAAGTAAACTCAGTGATTCTATATAATAACTTTTAAGTGATTCTATATAATAACTTTTAAATAACGTGAAACGGATAAATTAATCGAAACTTATAAATTTAAACAAAAACTCATGGAAGATTGAATCTATGATCTCCAATTAGAAAGATAAGACTCAATTTCCGTCCAATATTATTATTATTATTATTATTATTATTATTATTTCCCGCCCAATATTTGTATCTATGTATATATGTATATATGTATATATAATATTGTTAGTAAAAGCCCATCCATGTTCATGTAATTTTTCTATCATTATATAGATTATTTCAAAGACTTTTAAACACCGAAATGTCAATTGATTAGTGTGCAGTCATCATCATCTTCATGCAAAAAGGAAAACTCCGATATCAGCTCCTATTCTCCTTTATTTTTTCCGTCTATTTTCTGCCACAATTTTTATTTTTTTAATTATTTTTTTTTCATTTGTGTAAATTTGAAAATCCACTCGAGTTTGGAAGAGCTTCAGTCCCACTGTCTCCCTCCGTATCATGTTTCTGCACAAACTTTCTTCACTTCTTGTCAGAGATTTCCATTATAACAACTCCTTCGTCTCTCTGCCCATTTTCGATCCTCTCTTTGTAAATTCATCTAAATTCCCCATTCGGCGTTTTCCTCTCTCTCTCTCTTCTTAGTTTACCTTTTCAATCATGGAATCTATCCAGTAAAAGAAGCAGAGGATTGACATCACAAGTTACCATAAAGATGGAGAGTGATGGTTACGATTAGATACAAATAAAAAGCGTTTTCGAATACAGCTAAACTAAAGTAATGAATCAAATATATTGTAATGAGAGAGATTCGAGAGTTCTATAGGTACGAAACTACAGAGTTAATGATAATTTTAAAAAAAAATTGATTGGTTACTTGTATCAACAAAGTGAACATATCTTTTCGTTTATCTATCACGAAAGAATTCTAGTGTGTTTACTTTGTCGTAGTTTTAGAATGGGTTACCTCTTGAAAAATACTTTTTGATATGTGCACGAGTGAAACCGAAATAAACTAAAAAATCTCGTGTCGGTATACGAGGACAGTTTCAACATTTGTTACACATGTCGTGTTGTTATGTTTTATGTCCTGTTATCATTCATGCTCTGTTTTTTTTTTTTACAGGCCATATGGTTATAGCACCTCGAGCTTATATCATATTCTACAACCAGCTTTCACGTTAAATCATGAATGAACAGATTGGTATTGCACTCAAAAACACCATCTGAGTGGTAATTTCACGACGTTTCAGCTTTCCTCGACACGATCCCATGTTTCTATTATCTGGGTATTGTCTCTTTTTCAATCTAACATTTGATTTTGCACTGTGCTCATTTTTTTTTCATGACAAGAGGAGGTCGATTCTTGAGGAACAAGTAAGATCTTGAAATGAACAAGAATATGAAAATGTTCAGTTCTTTAATAGTAATAATGCGTGGTTGGACCGTCGGGTTAGCCATCTCATCGAATCCAGTTGCTTCAGTGAAACGTCCTGCGTCTATTTCATGGAACAGTGAAAGAAGCAAAGCAAGCTGTGACATGACAAGACATGTTTCCAGTAAGAACTCTGCTCCCTGCTGTCTGATTTCTGTTTTTGTTATTTGGGTTTTGATTCCATTTCAGGTCTCTTTTCCTCTGTCAGATTCAAAACTAACTCTATACTTTGCAGTTCCAGGGCTCTGATCACATCTACAAGTACCCTTTTGGAAGAATCACGGCCTCAGATTCTCAATGAAGTTGCTTTGCAGCTTCAAAGCTCTGACCATATATCTATGAAGAGAATCTAACGGCCAAAAACACAGCATGAGATTCCACAGCATTGTGTACCTCCACAAATACATGAACTAGACTCTCAAAGAACAGCCTGAAACATTGTAAAACTCAACTGCCCTTTTCCATTAATTGATCGATGTATCGAATGTTCGAAACTAATGTAAAGAATCGAAAAGCTAACTGGATGTTACCCTTAGAACAAACCTACAACCAAAAGCAAATAGAGAATTCAAAAAGGAGAGAAGAAAAGTGAGAGCTACTTATTAGGAAGTCCTCAAATCCTTTACGGTGAAATCATATCATCATCCTGCGTGCTTCCACCTTTGGCTCAGCTTCCTTTTGGTATGAGAGAGAGAGATATCATCCATTAAAGGCAAAAGACTTTGAGGTTCTGTGTCAGGTTTTGCTCACAGCAAAGCTACTTGCCTGTGTTGCAGAATGAAGAAACTATGAAACATATATATATGAAATGAAGAGAGTAAAGTGTCTGGAGGAATGATAAACTCGGTCTCGGGGTTAAGGGTTTTCATTTGCTTCTTTTCTTGGCTTCACTGTAAAGGATCACTCCACAGACTGTGAGAGAGTAACCGAGCATTCCGGTCACTGAGACCGGATTTCGGAATATTAGAATTGAGACCACAACCGCCACCGCTCCTTTTGCATTTCCTAGCACCTGTCAGGGCCGAGAGAATTTCAGGAATCTTTTCCGACAAGTATAAATTCCACAAAAGAATCCGAAAAAAAAAACACATGAAAAACCAAATGGGTTTGATGAAAGTGCAGATTTTGAGTGGAAGAAAATGATCCAGTTTGATAGAAGTGAGGAAACATATAAAAAATGTGAAACCAATGAGTTACTATGCAATATATATTCCAAACGATCATTAACCCGTAGGCAAGAGATATGCTTACCTGAAGTGTCAAGGCACTGGTGTGTTTGGTGACTAAGAAATTGGTCAGGTTCACGAAATAGGCAAGGGCTGAATTGAATAGCAGATACCAAATGATTCTGAAATCATCTCTTGCAAGGGCAAGTGTAATGCCGACGACGTTTTTCTCCATAATAAGGGTAGCTGGCAGAAGGAACACAACAGCTATGGGAGCCATATAGAGGAGGAGATTCATGGAGTTCAGTTTCTCCCTTCACATAAATTCAGACACATAATTTTCAGAAACGCAATCCCGAAACCAAAACTTGTGCAAGATTGAACTTGATTCTGTGACCATACTGTCATCTCTTACCCTTCGGAAGAAAGCAAAATTCCTTGAAGTACCGATTTAAGTGCTCTTGCAGCTGTGGCTGCAATGCACATAATGAATCCGAAAAGGTGGAAACTTGGCTCACTCTAAGAGACAGATAAGAACACAGGGAAACAGACAGATTCAGAAAACCATAAAAAAAGGAACATAAGAATCCCAACTAAAACAGAGAGATCTCATTGAATGACATTGAAGAACAAGAACTACTCCCCAAGCTGAATTTTCCTAAGCAAAACAATAAGTTCATGTAGTAAAGGCTATGAGTGATTTCGCTGGATCTGAGCACTAAACAACGTTGGAGCTCGTTCAAGAGTCTCCAGATTCAGACCTTTATATCATTGGCCAAACATGAACTAAATGGACAAGGTTCAGAGTTCTGCTTTTCCATCAACCCTAAACTAGACGTATCACCTCAACTGCAACACCAATGGCGAATCGGGCAACAACCCATTTCGACACGCATACGAACAGGGATCAAAGAACGGAAATTTTGAGTTGGGAAAGTAAAAATTACCCCACTGGCAATGATAACACCGGTGACGACGGGGATGAGAGTCATGTAAGTCAACCAAGCCTCCCTCTTCAGCGTCATCAGGTAAGCGAACACGGCGGTGAAGAACGGCGTCGTGGCTCCAACCGCCTGGTTGAACGACACCGGGAGAAACCGGAGGGAGATGTTCCCGAAGACCACCGACACGCAGAAAACGAGGCTGAGGGCGGAGATCTTCAGGAACTGGAGGCGGGATCGGATCGTCTGCATAGGGACCATCTTCATCCAAGCAATGGCGACGTAGCTGAGGAGCGAACACGCCGTCATGTGGCACATGGTGAGGAAGATCGGGTACTTGAAGCCATAGTTGCTGAGCAAGTACTTGTTCAGCAGCAAAACTCCAATATTGGACGAATACCAAGCGGCAACGAGCCCTATTGTGAAGAACCGGCCATTCGCCGCCATCTTCATCGCCTTCTTCCTTCTGGGTTTCCTCGGAAACGGGTTTACAGCAATGGGTATTGATTGATCTGGTCGAAAATATCCGGAAGATCCGAAACCCCACGGAAATTTACGAATTGGGTGTCACGGATTTCGCCGCGGAAGAAATCGACCTGGCCGCGGGGAGGGAGATTTTCGGACAGAGATTTAAGACATGCTGTTATTCCATCGGTCAATACATGCTCTGATTACGATAAAAGCATACAGAAATGGGGAATCGAACACAGAGAGATGTAGATTTCGATTGGAAGAAGAAGAAGAAGCGGGGCTCTCTGCTGCGAAAGGAGAGATCTTGGTTAAAGGCTTAAAGCGCTCTCTCTCTCTCTTATTTTTGCTAAATAAAAAATAAAATTTCTGTTTTTATTTTGGGTTCATGATTTTTTGATGCGTTATATATTTTTTTTTAACAAGCCTATTTTATTTTCCTTCCATGTTTCAGTTTATTTACTTTAATTTCCCAATAAATGTATGATATAATGATTATTTTTCCTTTTTCGTGGATATGGAGAGTAAAGATAATAATTTTTTTTTATCTTTCCAATAAGAAGTAAAGCAAACTACTTGTGCACATAGTACATATGGAAATTATTCAATGGAAATATTTATATAAATATATAATAACACACCACCCCTCGACTCACCTTAGGTTTTAAAATTTGGGTCATACTAATTTCCAAATATTCTTTTCCAATGTAAATATTTTTTTTATAGAGTTTCACTTTCACAACGAATAATTCGAATTTCGAATGCAAATTAAGCCGTATTCGTGTATTCGATTTTTTAAAAAAAAAATTGAGAACTTTGGTAATATAACAAAAAAAAATTGTGGCATTGAAAACATATTCAAAGGGGTGACTAAGCAAACTAGTCTTCGACGCGTTTTCTTCCTGTAAAGATTTGTATTTATTTATTGATGCTTGTTGTTATTATTATAGTCCAAAAAACAACAATAAAAAAAATAACATCGTACAACCTGGAAATGTAAATTAATAAAGCATAATTTCCGTGTTATATTTTGTGAGAATTAGGTCCAAGCCCGTACGGCAATTGAGCACTGACTTGGTGATTGTCGACCGAAATAGAATTAGTCAATATATATATATATTGTATGTATATGAATTAATATACCCAAATTAAAACCAAAAAAAAAAATCGATTTGGCTTCAACATATGATCTACGAAAATATGCAAACATGGACCGACGTGCTTATAATATATACACACACACATTGTCATGCATATATATTTTGTGAAAAGGAGAGAACAACAAATGGGTCGGAGCAATTTTCTTCTTTCGTGATGTGTAAATATAGCAACAAAACTAAAGAGACCGATGTGTGTTTTTGATAACAGGATCGATAAAAAAGCGAGCAACGGAGAGATACGGTAAGAAAACGTTCTACTGTTTTGCACAAGCTTTTTGTTCCCTAGCTCAAACGCTCTTTGTTGCTTCGAAATAATTGTAATCGAATAAATCATGCAAATTCGAATTAATCGTAACCAAATAAAATAAATATAACCGTTTATCTATCCATGTATTACCGATTAATATACATAGGACCAACCCAGTTCGTATTCCCATCTAGTGAGGGTGTTGGGGAAAAGAATATACTAGACCACGTTACCCCTACATTTTAATGCAGAGAGATGGATTCGAATCCGCGACCTCAGACCCCACGGTAAATGGTTTTACCGCTGAGCCAAGTCGGCCCTTCATTAATACACATATATATAATTAAGAAAATTATCGTGGTGGAACTGTTTATATAATTTTATCACTACAGTATATATAATTGAAATGAAAACTTTTATATATTTATTCAATAGTATCCCAAAATTTGTTCTAATCAAACCAAATTTTTTATTTGGTTATTATGTGTTTACAATTTTAATTAGACGTCACCTCATCAAATCGAATTGAACCGTTTAAAACCAAATAAGGTTATGAGTTTTCAAAATCCAAAATAAATTGAAGTCGACTGTAACCGAATCAAACCATTCGTCAACCTCTAACCATAATTTTGATTTTGAACATGCGAATATTAGAGTATGGGGTTTAGAACTCATCATCATACATGTCTTACCGGTCGGATACCGAAAATTCGGATGTCCATGTGATAAGCTAGTGGCCTTGAAATATAGCTACAACGATAGATTCTCAACAAACGTCGAAACCGTATCGCCTCACCCTATATTTTGTTTTCTTTGTAGATGAGATCTTTATAAAGAAAAAAGATGAAATCTCTAAAATAAATTTTTAGCTCTAGGCGATTCTTATCTCATTAGTCCTTAGATTCAGAAGTATGCATATACAAATTCTTGTACACTGACATACAAATCCAAAAGCCAAAGTTTTCGTCGTTGTTGGACCCATTCCCATCTCATCGATGGATGAGTATCCGATTTTCGGATATCTAAATTGCAGATCGGATCAGATACTTAAAAATTCGGAAAACCATGTGAGTCCAAACTGCATCACAAGTTTCCATGGAACCAAGTGGAGTAAAATGTGTCACAACATTGTCCATTCTTTCTATATAAGGAGGCTCTAAACCCTAGAGGCTAACGTGATCGAAAGGAGCAAATCAATACAAGTTTTATTTCCTTTTGTATAAACCTATATATTTATAGTTGAATGTCATAAGAAACACAAGGTATAGTAATATATTATCTCAGTTTATAACTTAGTTTCTACAAACTAGAAAAACTATAGCTTATGTGAGAAGAACTATATGAGATTATACCAACTTTCCTTCATATATAATATATCTTATATATGTTGCGCTTGTTGTAGATATATTTTTTTTCCAAAATCTTATTCTTTATATGTTTGGACAATATCTAGAAGAGTTATTTAGCTCTACCGGCAAGAATTGCATATTTCTCGATTTAGCAAATGATATGTGGATGATCTCATTCATCATCACTAAAAAAACACATTTACCTTTTTTTTTTTATAATAAGAAGGTTCAACGGGACTTCGACCCAACTAATAAAAGAAAATGAGGAGCCTGATCACATTGTTTTTATATGCATTTTTTTGGCGACATTTGATGCATTTGTTACTATCTTCATGCATGTAGAGACCATCTAGGAGTAGATTATGCCTTTGTTTCTATGTTGTGCAGAACTATGTCTCAAATAGAGCTTTTGGAGGCAGCAAAACAAGCTGAAAGCAAAGAGTACTAACATAACAGAAGAATCGAGCTACAACTCGATTAATCCAGCTAGCCGCCCAAATTTTCTACTATGTCGAAAATTTCGAGCTACCACTCACTTATACGGGCTACCACCTGCTTCAGACCTAATGAAAATCTACTCAGATTTGGTCCACTTTAGAAGTCCATATGCGGAAAACAAAGAGGCCTTTTAGGGTTTTCACAAAAGAGGAAAGAAGGAAGAGTCTAGGGGACTTTTTGGCACTTTGAAATCAGCCACTTTTGGAGGAGAGGAGAATTTGGGGAGTAAGGGAAGACTTGGAGAAGGAGTAAAAGAGGAGATCATCACCATTGAAGTCCACACTAAGCATTTCTTTCTCTTCTCTACCACGCTCTTCTTTGTTTCTCTTTGTTTCCCTCTTTTGAACATGAAGTAGAAACTTAGTTGTGAGTGGGAGATCTCCATTTTTGTAATGGATTCATATGCTTAACTATGATGTTTATGAGTTCTTTTTCCATGAGTTTGGTGTTTTGTACTTCATGCTTCCAACTTAGGCGAAATCTTAGTTTGTATGATATTAGAACATATTGATCATAGAGATATGTGGATGTTGTTTGGATCTAAACATCAAATAGGTGAGTTACTCACATTGGGAGATGGTTTAGTTTGCCTAGGGTTCATGATAGAGAGCAACATAAATCTAAGGGTCATTTAGATCATTGGGAGATGGGTAAATCGATTACTTGGATAGTGAGTTTAAGCTTGGGAGAGACAAACTCTATTTAAGATGCTTGAAATCCCTCATTTGAAAATGAATATTATAACATATGCAAATCATAAGGGATCCCGAACCTACAACGCTTGAATCATTGATTGTTAACCGTTTATTCTTAATTGCTTCCATTTATTTTAGTTCACATAATCACCATCATCATTTTAACCCATTTCCATCATCAGTCTAGCCTTAAGATAGATTAATATCACCTAATCCTCGTGATCGACCCCGATACTACAACTACCGTATACTTGCGATTAGTGGTACGATCGGGTTATAAATATAAAATTCGGTGCATGCGCATCAGATCCAAACGATCGTATAGTAGCTACAATTCATATTTATCTTTACGTGCACTGGAATAACATCATTATTCCATCATACAACAATTGCATGGATTTAAATTAAACGGATCATCGTAATACATGCGATAAAACTTACATTAAAACACATAATTGGAGAGTTGAAGGTGTCACGGGGACGAGGGAAGAGCGTGCAAAGAACACCTTTACCATAACCATACGTCGGGTCAACATGCATGCTAGTACCTTCGGAATTCGTCGGTTTAGACAATACGAGACTTTTTGTATTCTACTCGGAAACGTCTTTTTTGTCAGGTTTTATATTCCCGTTGTTTTCCGATGATTTCTAAAATGACATCTGATGTCAATTTATATATAAAAATCTCAAAGTATATAAAGAATCAAATTCATTTAATAGGTTTCAAAATACGAAGTGACAAGTTCATTCTCATTAAATAAGTTCAGATGAATCTTATTTAATGCATGTGCAATGCAACTCCTCCCTCGCATGCCTACTCGAACATGGGATTTCTAGAACATGTGACAACTAGAGATGGGCGTTTCGGTTTAGTTCCGAAGAATCGAAACCGAATCGTTCCGGACCGAAAATTTCGATATTTTTTTCGAACCGTACCGTTTAAAATTTCTGAACGGTATGATTTTTATAGAACCTAATTTCCCGGAACCGAACTTTATAAATTTCACGAAAAACCGAATTTTTCTTAAGAAAATCTATTTTTTTTTAACAAAAACCGAAACCGAACCGTACCGAAATCGAAACCGAACCGAACCGAATAATATACGGTAGTAATTTTGTACAAATTTTAGAATACCGAATAAACCGTTTCCGAACCGAACCACTAAAATTTCGACTCGAATCCCGAAACGCTCACCCCTAGTGAGAACTACTCGCCTACCTGAGATAGGGTTCCCTTTCCCTTGGTCTTTTTCCATGAAGATATTTCTTAGATCCAAACCAAGAGGTGTTTGGTTTGGGAGAAAGATGTAAGAAAAATTTTCGCCTAATAAGAACATGCAAGAAGAGAAATTTAGTTAATTTTATTTTTTATATTTATTTGAAAAATGTTTCGCGTATAAACATTTAC